TTGTCTCACAGAAAGTGTGCTGAAGGAAATAGCCAAAGCCGGCCAGCTCTTCCTCATCCCTGCCGTGATCCAGGACAAGCTGATCATTCGTTTCACTGTGACATCCCAATTTACCACCAAGGATGACATCCTGAGAGACTGGAACTTCATCTGTGATGCAGCCACACGCGTCCTGAGTCAGCACTGTACTTCCCAACCAATCCCGCAGGCTAGGAGCCTCATCCTTCCAATCAGGGGCCCCAAAGCCTTGGCCAATGGGATATCTCTTCCATCTGCCAACGAGGGAGGGGATGACCCTGCCCAGGCCAGGAAGATCATCAAGCAGCCACAGCGTGGGGGAGCCTGTCCTGCGCAGAAAGAAGATCCTGATACCTGGCTGGACCCACTGGATGACTGCTTTGAAGACCAGGACCCGGGTGTCCCCAAGCACAAGCTGTCGTCCTTCTTGTTCAGTTATCTGAGCATACAGAATAAGAAGAAGACGGTGCGATCTCTCAGCTGCAACAGTATGCCGACGCATGCTCAGAAATCACCGTCCGCAGAGGGTTCTGGAAAGAGTGGGAGCTCCTCCCGGGTGAGGATCTTTTCCAGGTTTCCCGAAGAGATGATGCTGCTGAAGAAGAGCGCCTTCAAGAAGCTCATCAAGTTCTACAGCGTCCCCAGCTTCCCTGAATGCAGTTCCCAGTGTGGACTGCACCTGCCCTGCTGCGCCCTGGAAGCCATGGTCTAAACGCCTGGCCTCCCGCTACATGCCAAACAATGTGTCTCCACGGTTTGCGCAGCTTTGGGTCCCTTCTGTGTGTGCATTTTCCCTGGGAAGGAATTCCTTACGTTTGATACAGATTCTCAGAGTGGGTTCATGACCCACCAGGAGATATATCAATGGAGCGTGAAAGCCAGGATGATCCAGAAGGTTCCAAGCCCCTCATCAGACAGAAAGAGCTGGAGGGAAACGTCCTGACAGGCAGCTTCTGTGATTCAGCTTGTGAAATGAAATCGAATGTCAAAATAAAGTGTGCTTGTCCATGAAGCCAAGGGTGTGACTTGATTGATCCCTGAAAGTGTTGAATAACTAATCAATCTGTGTGTGTGTGTGTGTGTGTGTGTGTGTGTGTGTGTGTGTGTGTGGAAGTTGAAAGGCTTGTGGCTCAAACCTATTAATCCAAGCTGCTTAGGAGGCTGAGATCCGAGAATTGAGGTTCATAGCCAACCTGGGTAGAAAAGTCTGTGAGACTCACCAGCCAAAAGCTGGAATTGAAGGTGTAGTTCAAGTGGTAGAGCGACAACCCTGAAGGAGAAAGCTTAACCAGAGTGCAAGGCCCTGGGTTCAAGTCCTAGTACTAGCACAAAAAAGAAAAGAAAAGATTCTGAGAGTTCACTTAGTTTTTCTGCCTCAATAGAAAAGCTACAACAGCAACAAACAAACAAACCCCAACTGCATGTTTATCAATGTTGTTAGGTGAGCAGGTAAGAAATAAGTTTTGCCTATTATGTTCCAGGCACTGGAGATACAATGGTGAGCTGGGTAGACAAAGTCTCCTGGTTATAGTCTCACAGATGCATGAAATCTGAGCAAGGAAGGCAAATTATTTATTTTCTTGTTAATAATTGTTTTTTGTTTTTTGGTCATGGGGCCTGAACTCTGGGTCTGGGCGCTGTCCCTCAGCTCTTCAGCTCAAGGCTAGCGCTCTACCACCTGAGCCACAGTGCCACTTCTGGCTTTTTCTGCTTATGTGGTGCTGAGGAATCAAACCCAGGACCTCATGCATGCAAGGCAAGTGCTCTACCACTGAGCCATTTTCCCAGCCCTAGTAATTGTATGCTGACACTGGGGCTTGAAATGAGTGCCTGAGTGCTGTCCCTTAGCTTTTTCACTTAAGGGTGGCATATTATCATGGGAACTGCAGCTTTACTTCTGGCTTTTTGGTGGCTAATTGGAGATAAAAGTCTCACAGACGTCTCTGCTGGCTTTGAACCTGAATCTGCAGATAGCAGCTTCTTGAATCGCTAGGGTTACAGGCGGGAGCCACTGATGCCCAGTCATTTTATATTTTGCTTTTGTTGTTGTTGACTTTAGGGCCTTGAGCTTCTGGAGTTCTACCACTTGAGCAACATCTTTAGTCCTTTTTGCTTTTAGGTTATTTACCAGATAGACTCATGATTTGCCCTGGGCTAGCCTTACACTGTGATCCTTCTACCGATGTTTCTAGCATTTGGGATTAATCACAGTCTCACTTACGATAGAAATCATTATAGATATGAACCACACTACCTGTCTTATTTGTTGAGAAAGAAGTCTTGCTAACTTTTTTGTCCAGTTTGGGCTTGAAGTATGATCTTCTCTATTTCCATTTTCCCAAGTAACCTGGATTGTAGGCATAGGCCACTTTACCCAGATATACTTTCAAATGAACACTTGTGTAGATATGTCTATAGCCATGATTTCTGATGAATTACTTTTTTTTTGGTGCCAGTCATGGGACTTAATTCAGGGTCTGAGCACCGACCCTGAGTTTTTTTTTTTCCTTCAAGCTGGTGCTCTACCACTTGAGCCACAGCTCCACTTCTGACTTTTTGCTGTTTGATTGGAGATAAGTGTCATGGAGCTTTCCTCCCTAGGCTGGCTTTGGACCATGTTCCTCAGATCTCAGACTCCTGACTAAGTAGGATTGCAGAAGTGAGCCACAGGGAGACCATCTGAATTACTTTTCTCTCTCTCTCTCTCTCTTTCTCTCTTTTGTCAGTCATGGGGCTTGAACTGTGGGCCTAGGCACTGTCCCTCAGTTCTTCAGCTGAAAGCTAGTGCTCTACCACTTGAACCACAGCACCACTTCCAGCTTTTTTTTTTATGTGGTGTTGAGGAATAGAACCCAGGGCCTCATGCATGTGAAGCAAGCACTCTACCACTGAGCCACCTTCCCAGCCCCTGACTTACTTTTCTTGGTACATGCAGAAATCCAGTAGTTGCCAATGGACTGCTGCCTCAGTTTCTCACAATGGAGCTGGGACATGGGAAGGACAGCTGGCAGGGATATGAGGACAGAGCTTCTGAGTTTTTGATGATTTAAACTTGTCAGAGGAGGGGCTGGGAAGGTGGCTCCGTGGTAGAGCACTTGCCTTGTATACATGAGGCCCTGGGTTCAATTCCTCAACACCACATAAGCAGAAAAAGCCAGAAGTGGCGCTGTAGCTCAAGTGGTAGAGCGCTAGCCTTGAGCTGAAGAGCTGAGGGACAGCGCCCAGGCCCAGAGTTCAGGGCCCAAGAATGACCAAAACCAAAACAAAACAAAACCAGGAACAAAAAACTTGTCCGAGGAAGTTAGGAGCCAGTAGGCTCTGGTAATGGATCATCGATGTTCCGGCTAACAGTCTACATGCTTGACTGTTCACGTGAAAACATGACCCCTCGTGACAAGTTATATCACTTCTTTGACTTACCTTTGCATTTTGTGCAACACAATTGCACAACTGCAAACTTTCAACCACACAGCCTGGGCTACTTTCCAGAACTTGGGTTCACATTGTCACCCGTTGATCCATCAACAAGGGCAGAGAGGATTTTGCAAATGGTTCTGGGAAGAATTCTATTCTACTTTACTAGAAAAAGCTGGCTACCAGTGGCTCATGCCTATAACCCTAGCTATTCAGGAGATCTGAGGATGGAGGTTTGAAGCCAGCCTGGGCAGGAAATTCTGTGGGACTCTTATCTCCAATGAATGACCAGAAAGTTGGAAGTAGAATTATGGCTCAAGGTGGCAAAGCATAAAAGCTAAGAGCCAGTGCCTAGTTCCTGAGTTCAAGCCTCGGTATCAGTACACATAAACACAAAACTACCACCTTCTGCATTATGTATCATTGAGGAGCCCTAGGTATATTTGCTTAGGGTGTTTTGGGGACTAAATTAGGGTGATCTGGGGTTCCTTGGCAGCTTCTGGTCACCCAAGGATGTACTCCAAGGGAAGGAACTTCTCTGCTTTTAAGAGAGACTGGAAAAAAATAAGAGGATGGAAGTGAACTTGGGGTTTGCTTTTTTTTTTTGTCAGTTGTGAGGTTTGAACTCTGGGCCTGGGCACTGTCTCTTAGCTCTTCAGACCAAGGTGAGCGATCTACCACTTGAGCCACAGCGCCACTTCCAGCCTTTTCTGTTTTTCTATGCTGCTGAGGAATCAAACTCAGGGCCTCATGCATGCGAGGCAAGCACTCTACCACTGAGCCACCTTCCCAGCCCTTGGAGTTTGCTTTCTAAATGTAGATTCAATGATGATGACTCAAGGCCTAGGAAAAGCTCTAGGTCAACGACATGGCACCTTGAGTACCACAAAGGACCTTCTTCTTGGAACTGTTGCAGGTGATAGAGATGGAGGAAAGGAATTATCGGCCTCTCCTTCTCTATCACTGCTTTTTTTGTGGGGAGGAAGGATACTGGGATTTGAAATAAAGGCCTTGTGCTTGCTTGGCAGGAGTTTTACCACATGCACAATACCCCTGTTCCTCTGTGTGTGTGTGTGTGTGTTGGTCTTGGAGCTTGAGCTCAGGGCCTGGGTGCTGTCCCTGAGTTTTTGTGCTCTACCACTACTTGAGACACAGCTCTACTTCCAGTGTTTTGTTGGTTCATTGGAGATGAGTCTCATGGACTTTGCTTCCCAGGCTGGCTTTGAACAGTGATCCTTAGAACTCAGTACCCTGAGTAGATAGAATTACAGGTGTGAACTACCAGTACTAGCTGCCCATAGTCTCTTTCTGCTTCAATTCTTTTTCTGGACAGGGTCTCCCAATTTTCAACCAGGGCTGGCCTCGGATTTCAATCCTCCTACCTCTACTTCTCAAGTGGCCGGGATGACAACTGATTCCACCCTACCCAGCCCTCCCTTCTTGTCAGTTTTACTTAGCAGGCCTTTAGCAGTATGAGTGGGACTTGTAGCAAGTTACCAATAAGGCCCTCAGACTTTCGAGTCAGTGGCACAGAGTTTGCATTTAGAATAAAGTCAGCAAAGCACAAGAAAAGATGGTACTATTTTCTGGGTTGGTGTTCGTCTATTTTTTTTTAAACATGTTTAAAAAAATAAGGTCCCTCTCTCCCAACAAGCTTAGTTTGCAAATACAAATGGAAGGTGCACATTGAAAAAAAAAATGATCTCTAAATCTCTTTGCTCACAAAAGTTCTGGTGTAACTTAAAAAAATTCGTTCCCCCCCCCTTTACATGTAATTTCCTTAAAAAAGGCACCATATAATCTTCTATTAAATTAACGTTGGATTAAGTCAAGTGGCTGTACTAGATCCATTCAGCTTCATTTCTGGAAATTTCTCAGTTATCCTCTTGGGAAGGGTCAGAGTTTCAGAGCTTTAGTGCTGATGGCGTTATAAATGTCCTCCGTCATTGGCACATAGTCTTTTGCTCTGTCATCTAAGAAGTACAAGGGGTCTTTGATGAGCGCAGGGTTGAAGCCTTCCTCCACGAGGGTCACTTTGCGATGTTTAAAAGTTCCGGTGATCTCAATGGCGTCCTGAAAAAGAGATGCATCAATCCACACTGTGGTTGTGTTTTCCATTTTTATTTTGTCGGTCATGGGGCTTGAACTCAGAGCCTGGGTACTCTCCCTGAGCTTTTCTGCTCAAGGCGAGTGCTCTACCACTTTTGAGCCACAGCACCACTTCTGATTTTCTGGTGGTTCATTAGAGAGTAACAGTTTCATGAACTTTCTTGCCCGGGTTAGCTTTGAACCGTGATCCTCAGGTCTCAGCCTCCTGGTTGTGGGGCCTGAACTGGGCCTGGGCGCTGTCCCTCAGCTCTTCAGCTCAAGGCTAGCGCTCTACCACTTGAGCCACAGTGCCACTTCCAGTTTTCTAGTGGTTTATTGGAGATAGGAGTCTCACAGTCTTTCCTGCCTGGGCTGGCTTTGAACCGTAATTCTCAGATCTCAGCCTCCTGAGTAGCTAGGATTACAGGCGTGAGCCACCAGTGCCCGGCTGTGGGGAGATTTCTGAGCCAAGGGATTGAGGCAGATTAGATTATAGGGAAAGAATGCTCAAACAGCCCCCCTTTTCCTAGTCCTGCCTTCCTGACACACCCAGAAGTCCTGTCTCCACTCTAAAATAGTTTCCATGGCTACTCTTCTTAGGAAGTAATTCAGTGGTCACTTCTGCCTAGGAGCAGAAAAACGCAGCCAGTTCTACCCACATGGAGACACCTGCGCACTGGAACCTCTGGAGACCTTAGGCCCAGCCCACTCCTAAGGCTCTGCACACCTGCACCTGCGCATCTCAGACACCGCCTTACGATTATGGGATGGCAGCCTTGCACATGTGCAGATCCGCTTCCAAAAATCTGCTGAGTCATGACCCGCCATTTCCCTGAGACTCTTCAAAGCCTAAGAAACGAATTCTTAACCTGTGTGTTTGCTCTTGAGCCATTTAGCTTGGCCTGCTTTTCCCCAGCAGTCTTACTTTTCCCCCTCTCTTCATCTTGCTTTGTTATTTAACTTGTGTATGTATGTGTGTGTTTTCTTTGTGTGCCAGTCCTGGGGCTTGAACTCAGGACCCCCAGGCTCTGTCCCTGAGCTTTTATGTTCAAGGCTGGTGGTGCTCTACAGCTTGAGCCACAGCGCCACTTCTGGTTTTGTGTTTTGTTGTGATGCTTAATTGGAGATAAGTCTCACAGACTTCCCCTATGCAGACTGGCTTTGAACTGAAATCCTCAGATCTCAGCCACTGAAATGCCAGGAATCTGAGATCTTCACCCCTGAGAGCACCCACAGGTAAGAGAGTTTGGCAGCCCTTCCTTGGTCCTGGCTCATGGAACGCAGCGGGTAGTGTTGTTTATTAGAATGAATTTTAATTGAGATGCCAGAAGGTATCTTTTCTGATCTCGTTACCATATGCTTGCAGAGCTAATGTCAGTACCTTGTGTATGTCAATAGAACCTTAAATACATTTTTGTTTTGTTTTGGCCAGTCCTGGGGCTTGAACTCAGGACCTGGGCACTGTCCCTCAGCTGCTTTTTGCTCAAGGCTAGCACTTGAGCCATAGTGCCATTTCTGGCTTTTTCTGTTCATGTGGTAGTGAGGAATCGAACCCAGGGCTTCATGCATGCTAGGCAAGCACTCTACCACTAAGCCATATTCCTAGCCCTTAAATACATTCTTATATATTCTACCATGTCCAAGATCTAAAACTTCTTTTCTCTGGGTTTTCAGTTACACAATCACAGGCCTCAAAGTCCAAACATCAGAGTGTCAAACTAAGAAGGAAAAGAGTTAAGGTTTAGCCAATAGAAAAGCAAGCCCCGTAGTTAGGTTTCATAGCTCCAACTTGCTAATGACTCCTGATTAAAACCCACCTATCCCATGGTGAAGGACTTTGGTAGATTTCTGTCTTCTTTAAGTTTAGAAGGAGAGTTCAAACGTTTCTATTTGAGATGTGTGTCACCCCTTCCCTGTTCCCTGCCCTCAACCCCCTGGCTCCCATCAAGCAGACTTTGAGAGGTATTTGCTAAGACTCTTGGTGAATAAACTGGCTTATGATTTTACAGAGAAAGGAATTAGGATTGGATTTCTGCTTGCGGTATTTTCTGGTATGTTTTGTTTCCTCATTGCAGTACAATGGGTGTTTCTGAGTTTCCTTAAAAAGGCAGGGCAAATTTGGCAAGATAGGATCACCATGGACCCCCCCCTCCCTAAGAGTCGCCTCCAGGAAGTTAATTGGAGTTGGCAAGGTATTCTACCTGTATTCTCAGAAAGCGAGGCCTGGCATAACTGGGTAGATAATCAGCGATGTGCTGGAAGACCTTCTTTCCATTGAATTCGTGGTTCTCCTTCACCTTGATGGATGCCATGCCAATGCGACCCTCATGATCTAGAAGCGAGAAAACATCAGTTATGGTTTACTCATGAGGCTGTGCTGGTTTAAAGAACTGTAGATTCACTGGCTCACGCCTGTAATCCTAGCTACTCAGGACGCTGAGATCTGAGGATCACGGTTCAAAGCCAGCCCTGGCAGGAAAGGCCATGAAACTATTATCTTCAATAAACCACTAGAAAACTGGAAGTGGAACTATGGCTCAAGTGGTAGAGCACTAGCCTTGAGCAAAAAAGCTCAGGGATAGTGCCTGGGCCCTAAGTTCAAGCCCCAGGACTGGCCAAAAAAAAAAGACTTGTTCAAGGTCACACAGCAAATACTAGACAAGGTCAGGACTTAGATCTGTGGAAGTGCTCTACATCCTTGCTCATATTTCAAATATCCAGAGATATTTGGGTGGGACATAGCTTGAATTGTTGTGGTCCTGGGGCTTGAGCTCTGGGCCTGGGCGCTGTCCCTGAGCTCCTTTTTGCTCAGGGCTAGCGCTCTACTACCTGAGTCACCGCTCCACTTCGGCCTTTTTCTGTGATTCACTGGAGATAAGAATCTCATGGACTTTGCCACCCAGGCTGGCCTTGAACCAGGAGTAACTGGGATTACAAGCATGAGCCACTGGTGCCCTGGCTTCTGTGTGTTCTTTAGTTTGCATTGGCAAGTCTGTCATACCTCCTGGCACAAGTACTACCTTGGAGAGTTACTTATTTAATCAAGGTTCTTAATAGCTTTAGCTCTCTGCCCTTCAGAGAAGCTGAGGGACAGCAGGGTGAAGGCAGGTGGGGGGGTGAGCTATTTGGTGCCCTCCCATTCATGCCCGTATTCCCAAGGGGATGTAGATGCCACAGGGACAACTGATCCCTAGCAGCCTGCCCGTGAGTCCAGAAGTGTTTAGAACAATTACCATTGTTTGCTTACTAGGACACTGGTAATTAGCTGTTCAGATACTTTCTCCCTGATCCAGCAAGACCCAGGGGGAGCCCAGATCCATTTCCCTGAACTACTACTTAGCTGTAATCTGAGAGAGGAAAGGAACCTTTTCTTGGTCACCTGGGTCCCAGCTTTCAAAACTCTCTCCCGCGATGATTGTGTGTTTACCTACGGTTCTCAAGAAGGCAAAAACAAGAGGGATTTTTTTTCTCTCCCTCTATCTTTCTTTTAACAAAGAGATAACCCTTCATTTGCTTTCCCTCGTCAGAAGGAGGAAGGCAGAGTATCACACGCATTCTGTTTACAGGGTGGGGGAGGGGTCCTCAGGAATTTCAAATGTCTCCAATAAGTTTGTTTGTTTCTTTCTTTCTCTCTCTTTCTTTCTCTGTCTCTCCCTCCCTCCCTTCCCTCCTTCCTTCCTTCTTTCTTGTTGGTCATGGGGCAGGGCCTGGGCACTATTTCTGAGCTTCTTTGAGTCACAGCCTCACTTTCAGTTTTCTGGTGGTTCATGGAGATAAGAGTCTCACGGACTTTCCTGCCTGGGCTGGCTTTGAACTGCGATCCTCAGATCTCAGCCTCCTGAGTAACTAGGATTACAGGCGTGAGCCACCAGTGCCTAGCTTCAGTAAGTTTCCTGTTGGGGCCAGTGCAACAGAACTATATTGACTACTGCTAGCCAATATTTATTATTATTGATAATCAAGATATCTATCTATCTGTCTATCTATTGACTATCTTTGCTTCTTAGACTGGTTATACTGGGTCAAGAGGCCAATGGCTGATTTGGCTTCAGCCAAATTTGGGATTGATTGATTGATTTGGGATTCGTTCAGCCCCAAGAACAAGGTTCTAGTCTATAATAGTTGTAGGCTGGGTGGGCCTACAAATCAGTTCTGGTCAAGGGTTTTCTAGAACAGTGCTATTCAATCTGGCAGCAGCCACCAGTCAAAATGTGGCTACTAAAATTAAAATGTCAAACCAGTTAAGTAAGATGGGCAACAGAAGGCCTCACCCTATTGTACCAGCCATATTGCAAGCGGCCAGTAGCTATCAGACTGGAGAATGGAGAGAGAGAACATTTTCATTGCCCCTCCCCAGCCCCCAGAAATGCTGAGAACGGAAACGTCCTAGAAAATAGCTGGACCGTTCCGGTGTGACACCTAGAAATCCACTCCGTGTTTAAAGCTGGGTATGACAGGGCCTTGCTCCCAGCCAGCCATGGTAGAACAATGCCTTTCTTTAGATGGGCCTGATCCATTTCCAGGCTGATGGGGGCTGTCTTCATGGAGGGGAAGCCAGATGGCAGGTGGCCAGGTCTTGCCTCTGCCCTTGTTCTTTCTTGTCCTCTTTTGTCTTCTCTTCTCTCTTATACCTCAGTTAACTTTATGGGTTCAAACAGAGATTTTTACTATCTTTTTAAAAAAATGTTGTATCAGTACTATGGCTTGAACTCGGGGGCCTTGTGCCCAATGAGCTTGCTTGCTCAGCTGGTGTTCTACCACCTGAACCATGCATCCAGCTCTGCTTTTTGCTGGTAATTTTGAAGATGGAATGTTGAGGATTTTCCTGTCTGGGCTGATTTGGGAATTGTAGTTCTCCAGATCTGAGTCTCCTGTGTAGCTAAGATTATAGGCGTGAGCAACTGGTGCCTGGGTAGAGTTTTATTAGCATGTACTTACCTGGCACATGTACCCCATACACATTGACTTCCTCGACAAAATCAATCAGTCCTATTATGTCAGCAACTTCTGTGGTAGCCACGTTTTCCCCTTTCCACCTAGGAGGTTAACAGAGATGATCAGTGCCTTCCAGCCCAGGTTGCAATGGCAGAGAGCAAGTGTTTCCTCCAGCCCTTTTGGGGGGTGATTGGTTTCTCCATCTTGATCCCCTAACCTCCCCAACTTAGTCATGGGGTGCTGCCTGATACACAAAAGTAAAGGCACAATGAAGTGTGAACTTTCAATCCCGCCACATGCAATACTGTAGGTAGAATTTTGTGGTCTAATGTTTGAATGCATCCATGGCTAAGAAAGGGAAGGTACATCAGATGGAATGCACATTTAACCTGCATTTGATTTGATCCACAGTTGGAAACGGTGGAAGGTCCTGTCTTGAGTTGACCAGTCATAGTTGAGGACAATGGATGGACTGGATGTTCCTAAACCAGACACATGTTCCTGCCTTTGTTTCATTTGCTGTCGCTCAGCAAGTAAACTGTGTGTGTCACAGAGCGGTGCCAATGCATTTTTTTCCTTTTTACTCTGGGAATTCGGGAGGACTGACACCCCAAAGGGAGAGAAGGAAATGAAGCTCCATAGAAAAAAAACCAACCGGAATGTATCTCCAACTCTGTCGTGGAAATACACAAAGTTTTCACGATCAATCATTAAGAGATCTCCACTGTTAAAATAGACATCTCCCTTCTTAAAGACATCTCTCAGTTTTTTCTTCTCTGTTTGAGTCTCTCCACCAGCATAACCATTAAATGGTGTAAGTTCGGTGATTTTACAAATCAGGAGTCCAACTTCACCTAAGAAGAAAGCAAAATGTCACCCAGGTGCATCATTATTTCATGCCTGTAATCCTAGCTACTCAGGACCAGAGATCTGAGGATCGGGGTTTGAAGTCAGCCTAGGTAGAAAACTCTGTGAGACACTAATCTCCAATTAACTAGCAAAAAGTCCAAAGTGGACTGTGGCTCAAGTGGTAGAGCAACTGATTAGAAAACATAAGGACCAAGGTTCAAGCACCAGTACATGAATTCTAAGCTGTCAAAACTACACAAAAAGTCCACTGTACCTTTAGGAACTTTGATACAATATCCATTTGCATCGCGGACAGGTTCCTCCTTCTCTACATCATATTTAATCAGCTCGTAAGTTACGACTTTCTAGCAAAGTCAAAAACAGGTCATTTTGAGTATACTTTTTTTTACACAATCTTATAAAATACATAAAGTATGCCTATCTGTAGTATAAAGCTTGGTGAAATTTTACATTTGTTACAGCCTCATGTAATTATCACCTGGATCAAGCTATAAAATATTTAGCCAGGCACTAGTGGCTCACGCCTAGCTTAGCTGCTCAGTAAGCTGAGATCTGAAGATCCTGATTCAAAGCCAGCCAGGGCAGGAATGTCTGTGAGATTATTTCCAAGCATGAAGCCAGAACTAGAGCTGTGGTTCAAGTGATCAAGCACTAGCCTTGAGTAGAAAAAACGAAGGGACAGCACTCTGGCCCTGAGTTCAAGCCCCAGCACTGGCACCCTGTCCTCCTACAAAAAGCTATAAAACATTTTCTGCTTTATATAGAAAGTTTTTGTCAACAAGCCACTGTTCTGATTCATCATTATCAATTTTTTTTTTGCATGCGATTCTGACTATGACATCCTCATGATATATCTTGTAAGCAATCACCTGGAAACTAGCTACATGGGCTATTATTATTATTATTTTAAATGTACTTAACTCTTTGAAGGTAGTTCGATCTCCCGACAGCCCCGATTTTTCTGGGGTAATTCAGAAAGCCGATATTGCCTTCGGTGGAAGCGTAGAACTCATAAATGTGTATGTCCCCAAATCGTTTGAGAAACTCTCTCCACACGTCTCCGCGCAAGCCATTTCCCAGGGCGACTCGCACTTTGTGGTCCCGATCATTTGGTTTCTGGAGGAGTTGCGGGGAAGAAGAAGGAGACTCAGTTGAAACATCTGTGGAGAGTCTGTACTTACTGACTATACTGACTTTATTTCCTTCATATTTCATTTAGGCTAATAGTGGACTTTATTTCATCAAATATGTACGTGCATCGCAAATTCACCGTAGTCTCTGCCTTTCTGCTACCTTTTCTAGTCAAGCATTATATTCTGACAGAATTCTGATTTGACCACAAAAGATGAAGATTTTCCTGTTTTGTTTTTTTTGTTGTTGTTCTGGTACTGAGGCTTGAACTCATGGACCTCCTCATCTCTCGCTTTTAGGATCAAGGCTGGTACTCTACCACCACGTGAACCACACACCTCCAGTTCTGGCTTTGGCTGAATGGTTGGAGATAAGAGTCTCAGATCTATCTGCTTAGGCTGGCTTTGAACCTGTGTCCTCAGATCTCAGCCTTCTGAGTAGTTAGGATTACATGCATGAGCCACCGGCACCCAGGGAATTTTCCCATTTTTTAAGAGGTGAGAGGAGACAATCCAACAGAACCAGCTGAGGCCAACATCAAGTTAGAATAATGTGTTACTGGATTTCTTAACAGGGCTGGTGAACATCAGTGAATTTCCAGAAGGAGTTTATCTGTCAGAGATGAACATATTTTACAACTGGTAGCATCAAGAGAGAGAAGAGAGCCAGGCACTGTAATCCTGTAATCCTAGCTGCTCAGGAGGCTGAGATCTGAGGATAGTGGTTCAAAGTCAGCCCAGGTAGGAAAGCCCATCAGACTCTTATGTGTAGTTAACCTCCAGAAAACTGGAAGTGGTGCTGTGTTCTAGCCTTGAGCAAACGAGCTCAGGGACAGTACCCATGATCTAAGTTCAAGCCCGCCCTATATACACACTGTGGGTTGGGAGGTGTAGGTAGGGGGGAGAGAATATTCCACCAAACTATTAAGAGGCAACGCTGTTAGGTCTGGAGGGACTTATCCTCATTTAATAGGTACAGCTCGAGGTCACAGACCATTAAGCACAGAACAGACAATGAAACCTGTCCCAATGGAATGGGAAGGGGAGAGGAGGAGGCTGGCTCCCAGTTGCACCAGTGGCCTGGGAGGAAGCTGTTTTGTTATAAATAAAAATCACAAAGAAAAGGCAGTTTTCACGGTAAGGGAGCAGAAGGAGAGTTTGTGACTGTAAGAAATGACCTAAGGAAAGGGCTGTTTTTCATTCGATTCTACTCATTTATGAAGTTTAAACCAAAGGTCGCTTTTGTTTGTTTTGTTTTTGTACCATTTCTGGGGCTTGAACTAGAGCACCTGGGCACTGTTCTTCAGCTTTTTCTCTCAAGGATGGCGGTCTAGCACTAGATCCACAGCTCCCCTTCTGGTGTTTTGCTAGTTCAGTGGATGTAAAAGTCTCATGGACTTTTCCTGCCTGGGCTGGCTTTGAAGCTCAATTCTCAGATCATAGTCTTCTGAGTAACTAGTGTTACAGGTATGCACCATTGGTGCCTGGCCAAAGATAGTGTTAATGTCATTTATAGAGTAATTGATGGCCCTCAGGAGAATACAACCTGGTAGAAAAGACAGGTAAATTTATAAGTATAATTTTAACTTGCAAAATTCTGTTAACGGTGACCTTTTTTTTTGGGGGGGGGGCAGTCAGTGATGAATTCAGGACATGGGTCCTGTCCCTGAGCTTCACTTGGAACCACAGCTCCACTTCCAGATTTTAAGTAGTGGGGGCTGGGAAAGTGGCTCAGTGGTAGAGTGCTTGCCTTGCATGCATGAGGCCCTGGGTTCGATTCCTTAGCACCACATAAGCAGAAAAAGCCAGAAGTGGCACTGTGGCTCAAGTGGTAGAAGGCTAGCCTTGAGCTGAAGAGCCGAGGGACAGTGCCCAGGCCAAGTTCAGGCCCCACAACTGACCATAACCCCCCCCCAAAAAAAACCCCAACAACCCCCCCCCCACCAGATTTTAAGTGGTTTACTGGAGATAAGAGTCTCATGGACTTTCCTGCCTGGGCTGGCTTTGAACTGGGATCCTCAGATCCAAGCTTCCTGAGTAGCTAGGATTATAGGCCTTATACATACCAGTGCCCAGCCACTGTGACCTTTACTTGAATAACAAACAGAGTAGAACTGGGGTATAAATGCAAGGGAACTTGGGCTCTCCTTTCACATAAAATGTTAATTTATTGCATCAAATAGCAGTTGCCTTATTCATGTTGTTGTTACATTTGGTTTGTGGCCAAGTGAATTCAAACTATAAATAAATTTTTAAAAAAATCAAAAGAAATGAAAGACACGAAATTAAAAAAAAAATTTTCCTGAGTACCCATGATGCACTTCAGTGGAGGGGAGGGGCTGCCAATCACTCCCCAGCCATTAGCAGTTGTGTTTATAAGTTGTTGCCTGACCCTGAGGACCGTTACCTTGCTCTAGCATTTGTGGGAAGAAAAAAACAAAAACCTGCCTGCCAAACAGCCGAGGATGCCCTCCCCAAACAAGGTAAGAGTGAACATTTAGTGTGTCTGAAGTGAGAAGGTAAAAAGTTACGTGATGAAATGCGGCGTGTGTTCAGAGGAACTTGAACGGTATTACGGGTGAGAAAAACAAGCTCAAATACTGGCTGGACAAGGGCAAACTCGGTGCTCTGTGTCACGAGTTCTTTCTTCGTGCTCTCCTTGGAGTCACATGCTCGTGGCTGGTCAAAACTTAGGTGAAGCTCTTTCGAAGCGCCAGCTAGCTAGGTGGACAGATGCTGGGCGTGGAGGAAAATGGGGCACGTGGGGTGTTTTTTTTCTCTCAGGAGGTCAGGGTCCTCATGCTGAAGCTCCCAGCCAAAGGGCTCGGTGGGGTAAACAGGGTAAAGCATGTTGAATCGAGTTGGATTTTGTAGGAATCTCATGTCTTCTGCGCTATGGGTCATCGAATTTGTTCCCTCTTCGTAGTTGCCAAAGTACACACCAAGAGGGCGTCTGTCTGGCAAGCGCAGTGCTGTGGTTGTGTTTACTGCCTTTTGCTCTCAAGTGTTCCCATTTAGTTAGGTAATGATCTGTAGCGTTTCTCTGACTTATGGTTACTGTGCTCCTGGTAAAGACTGGTGGATATGCGGAGACTCCCCCCCACCCCACCTCCTCCTGACCATAAAACTTGCTAAATATTGGGGGGGGGGAAACAGTTTTCTTATTCCTTGGTGGTACTGGGGTTGAGCTCAGGGTAAGGACTTAACGAAAACCACCTGACTTGGTGCCTAACTGCTCTCAGGCCTGGAAAAAAACCACCAAGATGGCCCTGCTATGAGTCAACGCAAGACTTGCTTTCTTTCTTTTTTCTGGCCCTGGAGCTTGAGCTCAGGGCCTAGGTACTGTCCCTGACATTTTGTGCTCAAGGCTAGCACTCTCTCACTCGAGCCACAGCTCCACATCCAGTTTTTTGGTGGGTCATCAGAGATAAGAGTCTCACAGACCTTCCTGCCTGGGCTGGCTTTGAACTGTGATCCTCAGATCTCAGCCTCCAGCGTTGCTAGGCTTTTTTTACACCAATGCCTGGCTCATTTCCCTCTCAATTGTGTGGTAGTAGGTTCTCTAGCTCATTAAGTCATTCCTCCTCCGACGACAACTATTTTCTTAGAGCATACTACTTGTAAGTAATCTCCAACCCTCAGGGTTGTTCAGGGTGGCTGCATTTACAGGGAAATGGATGGATGGATGGGCCTGGTAAATAATCTGTTAAGTCAGGCCCAGAGAGACAAAGGATGCATGCTTACTACTCAAAGGTGCAAGTTAGATCTAAGTTATCACTCTATGTAGATGGGCTGGGAATGTGGCTAGTGGTAGAGTGCTTGTCTGGTATGCACGTAGCCCTGGGTTCGATTCCTCAGTACCACATGAACAGAAAAAGCTGGAAGTGGCGCTGTGACTCAAGTGGTAGGGTGCTAGCCTTGAGCAAAAGAAGCTCAGGGACAGTGTTCAGGCTCTGAGTTCAAGCCCCCCCCCAAATATGTATACATATTCAGAGTCATATGCATATATATATATATATATATATATATATAAACAAATTAGCTAAAGCAAGATGGATGCAGGGGAGGATTTTAATGGTGTGACTCCTTTGAACAATTAACTTACAGTTGAAACAAGATAAATGCCAGGAAGCTGAAATCTGATGTCTGCAGAGCAGGAAGGATTGAGGTCGAAGGGGCGGGGGTAAACAAATGGAGAGAGGAGGGTGGGAGAAGGCAGTTATAATGTTCAACGCACATGCGTGAAAAATTGAACTGGGAAGGTTGAGGGGAGGGGTGGGGTTGGGGAGGAAGATGGGAGGGGTGAAGCTGATCAAGATGCATTGTCCTCACCAACTGACGTTTGCAATTGAAACCCCTTTGTACAACTACGTAATGATAATAAAATTATAAAAACCGTGGGTGGCTGGGACACGCACACACAAAGGCTGGGCTGCAGGTGAATGCATGCAGGTGCTCTGGTTGGTGGGAGGCAGGCTGGCCATACAGCTGACACCTGTGGCTGGCAGGTAGCTGTTGATAATCACAATACCTCAGGCTCAATTTTCACCACACAACTAAGGTATTTTATTATACTAGCAGAAGGGATTAAGTCTCCAAGCTGTAAATATTTGTAGGCGCTAATGGGAGGTTGTGGAACCTTCCATGGTACCTAGTTCTCACCTACGCTTTGTGTTCACCAGTGGCTGAGAGCCGATCTCTCATTTCCCTTAAGAGAAATGATTCTCTAACCAAAGCTAATTCTCGAAGGAGCTGACTTTTAGGTCAAGGGTTACCTTGAGCTAATAATAATCCAATCTGTGTTATCTTAGGTAAGTAAAGAACACAACCAGAATGTGCTAAGTTACACAGGATTTGTCCTGAGTTACACTTGAGGAAATGGAGGATTGGGGAAGTTTACAATAAGGAGCCCCAAGTCCACAGAGATAGCCAAATAATTGCTCCAGGATTCAAGTAATACACCGTGAATAAGGTTTTGTTTTCACTGGAATTCTCTCTCCCCGTCTGCTTGCATCATTTTCTGTTTGTGTTTTCTTCCTCACTGTCTAGGAAGAGCTAACCACATGCTTCCCCTGGGGAACTTGATTGCATGACCTGATTTCATTATTGTCCATGATGCTTTTTTTCATACAGGACTAGCTGATTATGCCTGAGGACTCTTCTTTTTGTTTCCTGGGTCCTGTGTTTCCCTCTCTTTTTTCACTGTCCTGTTTGGAACATTTTTTCTTGTAACTTCCTGAAGAACACATATAGATAAGTTGCGCATGTGTGCACAAATGCGCGTGCACACACACACCGAGTTGAGTAGGTGTACGTGCGTGCATGTGAGTAAACGCTGATCCTGGGGCATGAACTCAGGGCTTGGGTGCTATCCTTTAACCTTTTTGCCCAAGGCTAGCTCTCTACCACTTGAGCCAGAGCTCCACTTCTGGCTTTTTGATAGTTCACTGGAGATAGTGTCTCACAGATTTTCCTGCTCAAGGTTGGCTTTGAACTGTGATCCTCACTGCTGCCTGTTTCAGATGGCTTTTGACAGTGGGTTTTCATAAGCAGAGAGGTTAAGAAGTAAAAACGGGTAACAAGGCAGAGGAGAATAATCACAACAAAAGTAATAATAATTACCATCTAATGTGGTCGCTTACGTGGGCACATTTGATCTTGATTGACCACGTTATACACAACAAGCCACTAAGAGTTTAAATAGAAAACAGCTACGTACGAATCTGACGAAGCGTACCATGACCCCCAGTAACTTGCATTCCTATCTTATCTATTTCAAAAGATAATAAAACACCAAGGAAGTGCTGTTACCGGAGGTGTATTGCATAAATACCGGAGCAGTTCACCAATGTACTGAATGACAGTGACGTTGTATTTTCTACAGTCATCCCAAAACTGGCTGGCAGAAAATTTGCTCCTCAAAGCAATCGTAGCACCTACAGAAAAAGGCAGAAAGGATTAAGGAAGGGATAAGGTAGAAAAATCCTTCAAATGAGATCTGTCATCTTTTCTGTGTGTGTCTGTGTGCACACGTGTGCTGTACAGGGAGCCTGAGCTCAGGGCCTCGTGCTCTTGCTTGGCTTTTTTGATGAAAGCATCACTTGAGCCCTAGCTCTACTTTTAGCTTTTTATTGGTTAATTGGAAATAGAGAGTCTTGTGAATTTGTCTGTTTGTTGATTTCAAACCTCCATCCTCAGATCTCAGCCTTCTGAGCAGCTAAGATGACATGTGAAGGCCTTGAGTACTTGGCTTTGGATCTGTCGTTTTTGAAAGGTAGTCCACTTTAAAGTCAATTATGTTGACAGGGACATGCTGAGTATTGAATGTCTTACAATCCTTGTAAAAACGAATGCGTCATGGTTTTGTGCTATGAGTTTCTCATCAACAAGAGAGAAGACTCTTAGAAAAATCCATCCCAGAGGCTGGGAAGGTGGCTCAGTGGTCGAGTGCTTGCCTTGCATGCATGAGGCCCTGCGTTCGATTCCTCAGCACCACATAAGCAGAAAAGGCCGGAAGTGGCACTGTGGCTCAAGTGGTAGAGCGCTAGCCTTGAGCTGAAGAGCTGAGGGACAGTGCTCAGGCCCAGAGTTCAGGTCCCACGACCAATGACAACAACAACAACATCCATCCCATTAAAGGTCATTATTGTCCTGCAATCCTTTGAAGGAGGTTAGAATGATACAAATTGTGGTATTCCCCCCTTCCTCCCCCCCAGCTTGGGTTCAGTGGTTGAGCAGGACGTATTTTGGAAGGTGAAGTTTGCGTTGGGAATATGGGGTGCCCTCTACGCATGAGTTCTGCTGTGGTGAGAGTGGGAACTTACCGTTGACGATGCATCCGTGCAGGCCAATCATCAGTGCCGCGCTGTGGTACAGCGGCAGGGTGGTATAGATGACGTCGTCCGCCCTGATTCCGCTTGCCAAGGACAGGCCGGTCGCGTACCACAGGCGATGGTGATTGATGGTGGCAGCCTTTGGGAGCCCTTCGCAAAGATGTAAGAGAAGGCATGAGTGAGCCATGTTTGGTGGGTCATGGTCTGAGACAGAAGGAGGGAGAGAGGGAGAAGAGACACAGAAAGAGAGATCTGGCTTAGGTAGCTTCATTTTCCTATACTTGGCGAAAAGGATGTGGAAGGCCACGAGCAATTACACCAGGAGTTGGTTCCTGTAATCAGAGACTAAACAGAGTAAATGCATAGAGACATGGTTCCATGGACTCAACTCTGTCATTAGGGCCAAAGGAGCTAGATGGACTCTTGAAGGAGTTAAATGTGGTTCTCAGTGTTCCAATAAAACTTTATTTAAACAAGCATGTAGGGGGCTGTATATGGTCTTTGGGGCTATATTTTGTGGACTCCTGAGTTAAGCAGATGTTACTATAGTAATCTGAAGACTGAGCTTTTGCTGTGCTGACCACTTTGCAAGATACTCTGAACATTTCACATGATTTTTCTAGTTCTGGCGCTGGGGCTTGAACTCAGGGCTTGGCATATACACTCTCTCGCTCTCTCCTCTTTATTTTCCCTCTCTTTCTCTCTCTCACCCACTCTCACTCTTTGCCCCTCTCTTTCCTTCCTTCCTTCCTTCCTTCCCTCCTTCCTTCCCTTCCTTCCCTCCCTTCCTTCCTTCCTTCCTTCCTTCCTTCCTTCCTTCCTTCCTTCCTTCCTTCCTTCCTTTCTTCCTTTCTCCTTTCCTCCCTTCCTTCCTCCCTCCCTCCCTCCCTCGCTCCTCTCTCCTCTCTCCTCTCTCCCTCCCTCCCTCGCTCCTTTCTCCTCTCTCTCCCTCACTCCCTTCCCCCCTCTCTTCCCCTCCCCACTTTCTTTTGTCCTGGGGCTTCAACTCAGGGCCTCAGCACTAAGGTTTTTGTTTTTGTTTTAATCCCTCTCAAGGTTAGTACCACTTAAACCACAGCTCCACTTCTTTTGGCTTTTTTGTGGTTAATTGGAAAATAAGAGTCTCATGGAATTTCCTGCACAGGCTGGCTTTGAACCACAATCCTCAGCTCTCAGCCTCCTGAGTAGCTAGGTTTACTGGTGTGGACTACCAGCACCTGGCTTTGGTTAATTTCTTTATCTGTTTTATACCAATTGGAAGGACAGCTATATAGCAGGAAGAAACACAATAGAGATACAGCCAATGAAATAAGATCCGTTCCCACGAGCAAAGAGCTAAATCCCCGGACGTATTAGTTACCGATAAGTTTTGCTAAAGAAAGAGAATATTATAAAAGCCTAAGCCAACATTTAACCCTTTAAGGATAGGCACTAAAAGGATTGTTTTTAAAGAATTATTATTGTAAAATGATGACCTGTGGTTCCAGATGTATAAATGTAGACAGCAGGAGTAGAAAAAGTGACTTCCGAGCGCCAGGACTCTGGGATGGGGTCAGCTGATGCCTCATCGACCTTGTCTAGTAAAGAGCTCACACCATCTGTGAGGGAAGTCCGGCTCACATAGTAGACAGACACACCATCTTTTTTCAGGCTTGGTAACACCTCTTCAACAGCTTCTTGTAGTTCTTAATTGCATTGGAAAAAAATCCAGACAAAGTCAGTCCATTCAGTTTCTCTTAAGTCCACTGTGTTTATGTTTTGCTGAAATGAGGACTGGAGGTGTGACTTAGTGGTAAAAGCCTGCTTAGCAGGTGCAAGGCCTCGAGTTCAAACCCCAGGTTATGACGAGTGATGCTTAGAACTAGGCTCTCTTCCTCCTCTGCTTCCTTCCTTCTCAGTATTATACAAAGGGGCTTCAATATGTCTGTTTATGAGTACAATAGGTATGCACCTCAATACTAGAGCTTGAACTCAGGGCCTGAGTGCTGTTCCTTAGATTTTTTTATTTTTTGCCAGTTCTGGGGCTTGAACTCTCGGCCTGGGCTCTGTCTTTTGCTGTTATCACTCTACTCTCTAGCGCTCTACTACTTCAGCCACAGTACCATTTCTAACTTTCAGAGTAGTTTATTGGGGATAAGAGTCTCACAGACTTTCCTGCCTGGGCTAGATTCAAACCTTGATCATCAGATCTCAGCCTTCTGAGTAGCTAGGATGACAGGCATGAGCTGCCTGCTCCTGGCTTTCCTTTAGCCTTTTCTGCTCAAGGCTGATATATTACCACTTGAGCCACAGCTCCACTTCTGGCTTTTTGGTGCTTAATTGAGACAAGAGTCTCATGGACTCTCCTGCCTGGTCTGACTTTGAATTTCAATCCCAAATTTGACAAGCCTATTTTCTTTTTTTTTTCAATGTTGGGGTTTGAAGTGTGTCCTCACACTGGCTAGGCAGGTGCTGTAACCACTGAGCCATGCCTCCAGCCCATCGTAAGCCTGTATTCTGATCTTTTCAAACAGTCATAGTACAGTAATCCATGAAGACCATTTGAAGTGTCCAGTAAACTTGAATTCAGTGAAATAGGCATTTTTCGATCATATACATGATTGTTTTACAGCTTTTCCCCCCAAAGTTGTGTGTGTGTGTGTGTGTGTGTGTGTGTATACACTAAGTCACAAATATTTCTTAACTGGTCATACAAACAAAAAAGGTTATGAGTTTATATTCAAACTTTATTTCACATTTGCCAGTAGGATTTTCGTGTCTTTAATCCATAAGCTAAAACTGCTTTTATATTCACTTGTCTGGAAGTGAATTTACTTGTTTTTCACAGAAAGGTGACAGGATACCCCAGGGATCTATCTCGGGAGATGCCACCTGCTTCAATTCCCAGCTGGGCATGCATGATCCCAGTGACCAGGGCTGTCACTGCGAGCGATGCACTGAGATTTTGTTAAAAAAAAGAAAACAAAAACATATCTCAGGCTAAGGACTCATGCAATGGAAAATAAGACATCAAGCAGTCCCAAAGGGTTTATATGAAACATAAAGTAGCCAGCTCTTTATAGGAAAAGCACGTCCAAACTCAGTAGCTCCATTTTCAATGAGCTGCACTTCATTATCAAAATCAGACCTTGCCCACTGATTCCTTTCTTCTCTTTCCTTCTTTCTCCCTGTTCTCTCCTTCCTCCCTTTCATATCCCTCCCTCTTTCTCTCTCTCTCTCTCTCTCTCATCCTCCTTCTGACCTCTTTTTTCTTTTCTTTTTTTTGCCAGTCCTGGAGCTGAACTCTGGGTCTGGGCACTGTCCCTGAGCCTCTTTGTGCTCACGTCTACCACGGTGCACTTCCGGAATTTTCTGTTTCTGTGGTACTGAGGAACGGAACCCAGGGCTTCATGCATGCTAGGCAAGCACTCTACTACTAGGCCATATTCCTAGGCGCCCCTCCCCCCCTTTTTTGGTAATTCTTGTAAAGTCTTCTCACCTAACAGTGGTAGTCAGTTAGCACACAAAAGCTCAAATAACTCCATCAGAGGCTGGGTTTCCTAGTACTCTGAGTATGGTACTCCCTGAGTACTAGAAGGGGGAAGGTCAACTGTCCTGTAGTCCTGACCGCCATCTTCTGGTCCTCATGGTGACTAGGGGGCCTGAAGTGGCCCTTCAGGATCTCTGTGAATTAAAGGAACTGATCTGCTTCCCTTGTCAGCCAATCAGTAGAGGAGACTGTGGGGTGTGATGGCTCGCCTTGGGCCAAGCGGCTCTCTTTAGCTCAGGCCAAATGCTACAAAGGGTCTCAGCTGAGAGTTTGTCCTGAAGGACATTTACCCAGCACTACTACGCCTGTCATGCGTCCTAATAACCACGGCTGACATGTTTCATTTGTTTAGAGCAGTTTGTTAAGCAGCCTTCCGTGTGTCACTTTAATCTCACAACAACCTTGTGATGCAGATACCAGTCATCTTATTTCTACCAATGAAAGCTTACAGAGTCGGATGCTGCTAGCTCATGCTGTCATCTAAACTATTCAGGAGGCGGAGAGGGTCATGATTGAGAAGCCAGCCTGGGCAGGAAAGTCTGGGAGACTCTTTTTTTTTTTTTTTTGGTCCGGTCATGGGGCCTGAACTCTGGGCCTGGGCGCTGTCCCTCAGCTCTTCAGCTCAAAGCTAGCGCTCTACCACTTGAGCCATAGCGCCACTTCCGGCTTTTTTCTTTTTGCTTATGTGGTGCTGAGGAATCGAACCCAGGGCCTTGAGCATGCAAGGCAAGTGCTCTACCACTGAGCCACCTTCCCAGCCCTCTGGGAGACTCTTATCTCCAATGAACCACCCAAAAGCCAGAAGTGAAGCTGTGGCTCAAATGATATGGCGCTCACCTCGAGCAAAAAAAAGCTCAGGAACAATGCCCAGGCCTTGAGTTTCAAGCCCTAGTATCAGCACAAAAATAGAAATTTCTATGCCTGAGATTTCAGTTTTAATTTCATTCTTTGACAAGTTACCCTCTACGCAGAGAGATATATTAGCTAGAGGAAACAATACTACAAATTCATTTAGTTTTTACTAACTCTTGTTACAAGTTTTTCAGTAAGAGTTAAAACTGTCATCCCAGAACAGAAAAGACTAGGTGCACGCCTGTAATCCTAGCTACTCAGGAAGCTGAGATCTAAGGATCATGGTTCAAAGCCTGCCCAGGCAGAAAAGTCCATGAGACTCTTATCTCCAATTAACTACCAGAAAACAGGAAGTGGAACTGTGGCTTGAAGTGGTGGAGCACTTGCCTTGAACAGAAGAGTAAAGAGACAACATTCAGGCCCTGAGTTCAAGACAAAAAAGTCTATACAAGGATGGAGCTAGCTAGCTAGCATGTGCCCAGGTGCCCAGCTTCTATACTTTTTTCCCCCTTGAAGTAGAATACACTCATTAAAATAGAGAGTTATGCTAGGGGCCAGGGATCCACGCCTATAATCCTAGCTACTCAAGAAGGTCAGATCTGAGGATCGCAGTTCAAAGCCAGCCTAGGCAAGAAAGACCACGAGACGCTTTATCTTCGATTAACAACTAAAAAAAGCCAGAAATGAAGCTTTGACTCAGGTGGTACAGTGCCAGCCATGAGTGAAAAAGCTAAGGAATAGGGCTCAGGCTCTGAGTTCAAGATGCGGGACCTGCACAAAAATAGACAAGATAGATAGATCGACAGAGACTTACATGATTAAATATCTCTAAGCTCCCTCCCAACTGCAAAGAACGCCCCCAATCAGCCTGCTCACCACATGGCACCGGAGCTAGCTATGTGACTTTGGACTCTGAGTTCCTCTGCTTTCAGTAACTGTTCTGGGTCAGGGTTTATCTTGGGCAAAGGTAAGTCAACAACTTGGAAAAATCATAGAGCTGTTTGCTTTTTTCTTCTTCAAATGCATGACTTCTCTCAAAGGTTAGTTTGCACATTTCTCCACGGCACACCTAACTACTAAAACATACCACTTTGGACTCTGTTTTGTTCTCTTGCAGGTTACAGAGCATTTCTTTATTGTGTATAAAGGTGATCTGGGAGAAGTAGAATGGTGTCAAAATGAAAGCCTGTGGCCTTTCTCAAAGATGAATTTCATGCTATCAAGTGCTTCACAGCCAATGCAAAGTCCAGTTTAAGTCTGATTTGAATGTAAGACTTTCATTATACCTGCTGTAAACCTGATGCTGTCAGCTGGAACTGAACACTGCTTCATTAGGAAAAAGGTCCTGGCTAGAAATTTCCATCCTTAGGTGTGGTGACATGATACCACACTTGGAAAAAATCTATACTGTGGAACTTTGCTTCATGCACAAAATATTATTATTTGTGTCAGTACTAGGGCTGGAACTCAGGGCCTGAGCACTGTCCCTTAGCTTTTCCACTCATGGCTGGTGCTCTAGCACTTGAGCCACAGCTCCATTTTCCAGCGTTTTGGTGGTTAATTGAAGATAAGAGTCTCTCTCACAGACTTTCTTGCCTGGGCTGGCTTTGAACTGTGATCCTCAGATCTCAGCCTCCTGAGTATTTAAGGCATGAGCCACCAGTGCTTGGCTAACACAAAATTACCTGCAGTCGATATGTTCAAGGTATATATGAGGCACACATGAATTGTGTTTGACATGGGCTGTATTTCCAAGATATCTCACTACATATATGCACATATTCCAAAAGTTGGGGGGCGGGGAGGGATGTAGCACAAAACACTTCTGGTCCTAAGCATTTCAGATAAGGCCTTCTCAACCTATGTATAGTTGTATTTTTTATTTTATTACAGAACCAACCTCAAGGTCAGTCATTTAATCCTGAGCTCATGTGTCAATGAAATTCAAAGCCCTTCAGAGTCCCTCAAAGGGAGCCTGAGATTATTAAGGAGAAAATAGTATTTAACTGCCTCCTGAGGTGGTACAAAGATCACTGTGTTAATAACTTCCCTCTTCAGAAGGCTGGGAAGAAAAACAACACACTTCTCAGAGTCTTCCAAAGGTTGTAAAGTTCTTTATTTTTCCAGGCAATTAGATATTGCTGGGAATTAGTTTGCAAAGAACTCTGTCCTTCAAATAATTGGGCTGCCTGAATTATCGATCATTAATTATTTTGCGCCACATGGCACAGATCTATACACTTCCTGGCTGCGCACAGGAAATGGATAGTTCATCTCTCTCTGGCACTGTCCCGTGCCCCTCAGTTTCCCCAGCTAGGAAAAGAAGGACAGAGCAGGATGATGCTCGATGCCTTCCAAGTCTAACACTTCCACCTTGACATGGGGAAGTTGGGCAGATCTAGGCTGGCATGTTCAGATTCTGTTCCTCAGTGGCCTGTTGGTGGTGGCGATGAGGAGAGGTAGCACTCCCTCCCCGGCTCATGAAAGCATCCAGTACAGAACTTGGCACGGAAAGGCATTCTGGAAAGGGTGGGGCTTTTTGACTCCCTCTGCTTTGTCACTGACATCACTGAGCCCACATCTGGCAAAGGCTCTTCGTATTGATTGGCAGAAATAACCCCTGATCTTTTCTGCTCAAAGGCACACAGGACAACGCACTGTGTGGAGGAGAAAGGGTGAAGTTTGGTGGCTAGCGTTTGGGAGGAGAAAACTGGCAGCCTTGTAATGTGTTCTGTTTCTTTCACACCTGCTTAACCATTTTGGGGGGTGGGTGGGTTGAGAGTCTGGTAGGTAACATACAAATAAAGGGTGTGTGTGTGGGGTCACTGCTTTTATAGATGCAGTGGGGGCTTGCCAAAGGCACTACAGCAGATCCCCCAAATCTTAGGCATCCCTGGGAGTCGGCTTTCTCCGAGCGGTGAGAAGCGAGGGAAGCTGACAGCTCCTAAAAGCTGTCTTGGTGAGATTCTATCTGATAGAACACGAAACACAGGACAGAGAAGGGATGCGATTTTTTTCCCCCCATCAGATGCAAGAATGAAGCGTCTTTTGGGATCACCTTGAATTCACATTCAAGACCCTCTGCCTTTTAATGCAGATGTTGTAAAGTACTGGTTTCAGTGTGGACTTCAGAGGTGGACAGCCTTGGTTAACCCATCGCCCTTCGGCTCTGTGACCTCCCCTGACAAGCTCACGCCTGTAATCCTAGCAGCTCAAGAGGCTGAGATCTGAGGCTTGTGATTCAAAGCCAGCCCGGGCAGGAAAGTCTATGGAACTCTTTTTTTTTTGTCGGTCGTGGGG